GTTCTGTATGCCCAGAGGACGTTGTTGAGCTCGTCTGCCCACTTGGCCTTGTGCTATTCCAACCTCGGCTTTATTCTTTCTAGAATGCATTTATTAACAGATTCTACCATACCATTGGACTTCGGATGATAAACCGAGGTGAACTGCAATTTGATCCCGTAGCTGGAACAAAAATCTCGAAAAGAAATGCAGCTGAATTGTGTTCCATTATCAGCCACAATCTGATTCGGGATCCCATATCTGCAGATGATCGAGCTGAAAATAAAGTCTTCAATCTTCTTGGAGGTAAGACTGGATAATGGCCGAACTTCAACCCATTTTGTGAAATAATCCACGCCAACAATCAGATGGGTTACACCACCAACCCCTTTCACAAATGGGCCCAGAAGATCCAGTCCCCACTGAGCAAATGGCCATGGTGCTACCAAGTTCGTGAGCTCTTCTGCTGGTTGGTGAGTCAGATGTGCAAAGAATTGGCACTTCGGGCATCTCTGAACAAAGTGAGTGGCATCCTTATACATGTTTGGCCAGTAATATCCCTACCTTAAGACTTTGTGAGCCAGAGTTCTAGCACCAACGTGGCTTCCGCAGACACCTTCATGTACCTCCCGAAGTGCATACTCAGCTTCGTAGGGATTCAAGCACCGTAGAAGAGGGAGTGAAAAAGATCTCTTATAGAGGACCCCATTAACAAGTGTATACCGAGATGCTTTCTTTCTCAACTTCATTGCCTTCTGCCTGTTCTCAGGTACTATCCCATCTCGTAAAAAGGAGATAATTGAGTCAGCCGAACTCGGCGTGTCAGGATTTGTGCTGATCTCCATCATCCGTGGCTTCATGAAGATTGGTTCATCTAAGACCTCTACAAAAACCAATCTGGAACTTAAAGAGCTATTTGAGGCAAATTTCGAGAGTGAATCTGCCTGTTCATTCTCGGTTCAGGGAATTTTACTCAGACAGAATTTTTGGAATTTGCACTTCAGCTCAGCCACCAAGGCTACATACTTCACCATGACAGGATCAACAACTTCACAGATTGAGTTGATTTGGTTCACCACCAGTTGGGAGTCACTGTATACTTGGATTGTGTTGATTTTCAACTCCAATGCTAGCTATAGACCAAGCAACAGAGCTTCATACTCAGCCATGTTGTTTGTTGCATCAAAGTTAAATTTCAGGGCATGTTCACTTCGGTATCCATCTGGGCCAATCAAGAGAGCACCAGCTCCTGAACCCTTGCTACAAGATACCCCATCAACATATAAGGTGCAGTCGTTTGGTTCTGGATTAGGGGTTGAATGACCCGGAGTGCACTCTACAATAAAATCTGCCAGTGCTTGAGCTCAGATTGCAGATCTCTATTGAAATGTTATTTCAAACTCCCCCAGCTTTACTGCCCACTTAATCAATCTTCCAGAGCACTCTGGCTTTTGCAGAATCTGTCGAAGAGGTTGGTCTGTAAGGACAATGATTGGGTGTGACTAGAAGTATGGCCTCAACTTCTTAGTCGAAGTGACGACTGCTAAAGCTACCTTCTCAGCTATAAGATACCTCAGCTCTGCTCTGTGCAGCACACTGCTGATATAGTAGATTGGTTTCTACTGCTGGCTTCTACTACTGGCTTCTTCCCTCACCAGAAGTGAACTAATGGCTTCATTTGAAATCCCCAGATACAAATAGAGAATCTCTCCATCTATGGCTTTAGTCA